CATAAGATAGTTTCCCTGCTCATAAATTGTAGACTTTAAATGTAGAACTTAATTGTGAACAAAATGGCCTGGCTTATCCCAGTGGGAAAAATAGTCAATGACAACGAGACATGGCAGCCTGTGGTGCAAGGAAATAACACAGAAAAACACAAATTAGGCAAAGGAATAGTATTACAGTCTGATCCCGCCAGGCTGTGTATTCTTGGACAAATAAACAATCTTCCTGTCTTTCTGTGTCCATCATCATAAAATGGCGGTGAGTTAAGGAGAATGGACGAGGAAATGTGGTGGACTCCCATGCCCCAGCTCTCATAGGCTAAGGACACTTCAGGATTTTTATTTTTCCTTTAATTTCCTCATTTATAGGCATAATTAAAATCAAGTTACAAAATAATGCTAAATAATACCTAAATATGATCATCAAACTAGAGCTTGGGTGTTCTGACTCCAGACCTAGTAATCTGAATTCACATCACAATTACATACTTCTCTTTGATTAAAATCAATCACTAGCTACTTCAGTGATATATACTTGAGGGTGATCATTACAGAGTAACTTGTCATCTCTGCTACCAGAGATGGAACTCTGCTATCAGAGTAACATCTCATAGCACTATGAGAATATATTTTGTGATAGAGATTGCACAATATTAAAAATTATTTTTAATTACTTCATTTCCCCTTGTTTACAGAAAAAGACAACTATAATAGGTTTTTTTTGTTTTGTTTTGTTTTGTTTCATTTTTTTAGCTGAGCCATCCTGCCACCTGTTGGCCGCTCAGCAGCAGCTCAGCTTGGGTCGAGAATCAAACCGGCAACCCTGTTGCTCAGAGCTCACACTCTTGAGCGAGCTCTTAACCAACTGAGCCACTCAGCTGGCTCAATAGTTTTTTTTTAAGGTTACCTTGTACCCTGTATTAGTGTTTGCTATCTGATATGCACAGTGCAAAGCACTTTATGTGTATTCCTTTTTTCTATCCTCATACTACCTAACAAGATAGGTTTTTTAGGGTCCCATTTTATTATGGGTGATGCAGCCTCCAGGGGTCCCATTTAGGACTGTTTTAAATATTGTGGACTTTTATTCTACAGCGGTGGTTCTGAACCTGGGTGATCATTTTCCTTAAGACACTGAGCAATGTCTAGAGGTATTTTTTAGTTGTCACAACTTGGAGGATGGGGTTGGCGTTTGTGCTATTGGCATGCAGTGGGTGGAGGCTAGGAGTGCTACCAAACATCTTAAAATATACAAGACAGCCCCCGCAACAAACAATTAGCTAGCTCAGAATACATGGNCGAAAATACCTGGATTAAAATGTAAAATTCCATAAACTGCATCATTAATTATCAGTGGCAAATATCCAGAATATGTAGCAAAATTCAAATATCTAGAATCTTCTATATTATTGACAGCAAACTCTTATTAAACTATGTCTATCCAGGATTTGTTTTGTTTTTGTAAATCACTTTTTTACTAAATAGAATCAATTTTTGTTTCTGATTATAAACATGAACTCATTACATGTTTGTATTCATGCATAAATTTAAATCATGCATAAAACTGTAAAGATGAGAACAAAAAATAATCTAACTGACAATGTGAAGATTCAGAATCAGAAGATCTAAAATGGGAACCTGGGAACCTGTATATTTCAAAGAGCTCACCCCTCAACACACACACACACACACACACACACACACACACACACACACGAGTAAGCACCATTGGTTTAACCCTTCTATGACAGATTCTCAAATTTTAATATACATAAGAATCACCTGATCTTATTAAAATAAAGATTCTGATTGAGGAATCTGGGTGGGGCCAGGGTTCTGCATTTCTAGCCATTTTCCAGGACATGATCATCTTGCTAGTCTAAAGCTCTCAGTCAGATGGTTTCCTAACGGTTTTCTGAAAGCTTTCAAAGATGAAAACTTTACGTTTTCTGGCCCTGAGACATTAGCACTCAGATGACAAAAGACATGTCCATTATAAGTAAATGTAAGAGTTATTTCAATTTCAGCTCTTTATCTTTATAAGATTATCTTTTAAACTAAAGGACCCAGGAAGGAATAATCGCTTTCAAAGGCTGTTTATTCAGATCAGTGTCTTGAGCCACAAGTTCGAGTGCACTTGCTCTGAGCTCACTCAACTGTTAAGTCAATTTTCTCGAATCTTTACCAATCAGTCTCTACCCTGGCATTCCCATGCAGTTCACAATTGTACAGAATGCCTTATTTAATGGTCAGACTTCATTATCTCTAGACTGTTCACTTACAAATGTGGATGTTCTTGGCTCCAAAGATTTCTAGAGAAAGAAGCACCCAGCATTGAATAAGAGATGTTCTTTCACAAAGACAAACCAGGAAGCAATCCCAGCTTACGCATCATCCCTATTAAGTTAAACCTCAGGGGAAAACTCGAGATGGTAAGAACTTCATTTCTTTATAA